CGAACGCGCTTAGTGTGTTTTAGCCATTTAGCACTTTTTATGATGAAATAAAGTCTAAATCTTTAATTCGGCCACGATACAACACACGAAGGAAAGTGTTAAGTGAATCAAAAAAGTGAGATTTGAGTCGGATTAAAAGTTTGCAAGATTTAGCACTATAATCCCAGGTTGGTTGTCTTTAGTTTTGTGATGACTGGTGGATATTTTGTCATGTCACGTTTTTATGATTTCCAGGAAGTGGACCCATGACAGTCTGCCATGAAATACCAGTAATGCTGAAATCAGGAAACAATTGTTTCTTTTTTTAAATACTTGAATCAGTTTCATCTGTCTTCACTTTATTTCAGTCAATACACAAGCGCACTGTAAGTAAATCTGTCTTAAAGGGGGGAAACAAAACTGGTGAGACTTTCTTTGTTCTCCTGTAGTGATAATGACCCACTTGAGTATCATATGTGAAGAAGCCTGCAGGTGATGGACAAAACCGACCAGTGAGCTGTGTAACTTTAGCTTTCTGGGAGCTGAGCCCAGAGGAGTTGGAAGGTTTCTCAGTGTTATCCTATTTTAAAAAACAAAGCAAAAAGACAGTAAATAATAGCTCAGGTTTAGCTTGCACACATTGTATGCTACAATACACCCTAAAAGTGATGCTTTAGTAGCTATTGGACAATTTCAATGCAAACTTAAGACCCTTTTGGCCTCTGTTTTATACCTGTTTTACTTGATTTGCCTCTTTTCTGATGTTTTAGCTTTAATTCTAATTTGTCTGGTTGTCTTAGTCGATTTTTGTTTTTATTTCTGTGTGAGTTGGAGCAGGATGGAGGCTGTGGCAGTGTGTGTATGAGCCATGGCGTCTACATTGTCGCAGTGGTTTCGTAGCCTTCGTGTGAAGTTGCTGCAACGTTATGAGCACCAGCCTTTCGTGTCATGTTTGGCTGGTTTGTACGGCTGCCAGTGGAAACACTACAAGAGGAGTCAGTCTGAGGGCTGCTGCTGCAACAAGGTCAGGAAGCAGCAACACAAGAGCCACTTCTGCTCCAGCTAAAGTCATCTGTTTATTATCATTGGAATTAATGAACCATACAGTGGTTAAGTTTACAGGAGTTTCAGTGTTTTTGGGGTTTTTTATTTTAAGTTCTAGCGTTCCTACCAAAATTAAAGTCCAGGGAAACTGAATGTTTTGGAATTTTTTTTTTAAAGATTCAATATAAGAAATCAGCACAGAACTCTAGGCCCTATACGTAAACCGTCTCTGTGGCCCCCTTTCCCTTTCTTGAGTCATACAGTGCTCTGAAAAAGCATGTACCCCCTTCCTGTTCTCTTATTTTTTGTTTTGCATGTTTGCACCCTTACATGTTTCAGATCATCAAATTTTAATATTAGACAAAGATAACCGGAGTAAATAGAAAATTCAGGTTTAGGGAAAAAAGCTCTCTTAATCCACAAAGGCTCAAATATATACATACACTCACATATTTGAATAAGTGGTCCTGAAGGTTCAACAGTGTCCTTTAACTTCATGAGGCCAAGCCCTATTAACTTCTAATTGGTGATCATGATTGACTACAGTTGGTAGTTGTGAGCATCAAAAGGATTTGTTTGACAGCACTCAATGGATTGATGAATACTCAAAATAATAGGGAGCTGCAAGAAAATATGAGATCTGGAAGAAGATCCAAACTGTGACCTTCAAATGTGAGTAAACTGGTTAGGATGTTCAGGAACCACCAGGGCTCATCCCTGTCATGGGCTTTTGAACCTGAGAATACTGTAGCAAGTGTCAAGCATGGTGGCGGTAGCATCATGCTTGGGGACTGTGCAGTGGTTGGAATAGTGAACCTCCAAATTCTTCACTTTCACTTCAAATCAACAACCAACAGGACATTGATCCCAAACGCACAACAAAACTGTTTTTGGAAGGGATAAAGCCGGCCGTCCCAGAGACCCGACCTCAACCCTTTTGAAATTTTGTGGACTATGTCTAAAAGCCAGGTCTGTGCAACAAATTCAAATGAACTCAAAAGAGTTCAAATATTTACCCAAAATGATGCCAGAAACTTGTTGATGGATATCAAAAGGATCTAGTCGAGGTACAACTTGCTAATGGACTTTTAACTAAATATTAGTAGGAGTCTGTGTATGTTTGAGCTGGTGTATATATACTTTTGACTCTGTGGGTTAGAGGAACACGCTCAAAAATTGAAACCTGTGCACCCAATTCTTTTTCTAAAGCCATCTAAAGTTGATGCTGTGTTTGGACAGAGAGAGGAGTAAAAGCACTCAAAATATGATGAAAAAAATGCAGAATAATTAAATTTAGAGACACATGTGTTACACATTATGTGGTCAGCAACATGAATTTTATCGTCAAACCAAACAGCAAACAGGAAAAAAACACTAATAAATCGTTGTGGGAGAATATAAGTTGGAGGAAGATAAAACAAATCAATAAAAGGAAATAAGGTAAGGGTGACGTGTCAGTATGTTGATTCTTTGTTTTGTTTTCTGCAGTTATTGACTTCAGTATTTGCATTTCTACAACTGTAAAAGTCACCAAATGAGAAATAATTTTCAGACATTACATTTAAACAACTTTATTTCGCTTTTTTTATTGTGCTGATGCTGAACAGAGCTGTTGGTTGGAGCTCCTCTGTTTCTGTAAAACTCAGAGGAAGTCTTAAACTGCCACAGAAACAGAGCAGTAAACAGTGCGGGGGGCTGGATTTAACTCGGGGAATAACAAAAACAAATTTCTCTCATTGTTTTGTCTCCTCTGTCATCAGTTGGAGGGTGCCAGCTTTGCTGTGCTTGTGGCGGCTTTCTGCTTGACGCTGCTGTTCCTCTACTTCTGGGGACAAGCCAAGAATGACTACAACGACTTTGACTGGTGGGTGGAGCGACTCCTGCACTTATAATACTGTCGTAGGTAAACATAGAGCTGTTCACATTAATCTGCTGCAGGAATCATTGGTGTTAATTTACGTTCATATGTCTTTGTTGACTGAACATGTAACAAACGTTTTTCTGCCTTCATGTCTGTTGTGTTTCCTGTCATTTGACTGAAGGTTTAACTTCGGGAACCTGGGCTTCTGGTTCCCGTGGTCTGTGGTGCTGCTGGCTGTCGCTGTGGTCTTCTTCACCTACGTCACAGTGCTTGTGGTGAGACACAAACGCTGCATTGGCTTTTCATCTCTCATCTCGATTTGTTCTTGTCCTTTTAGCTGACTGGATAATTTATCCAAGTGGTGTCAACTTTTTACTGTTGCTTTTTTTGTCTTATTTTGTAGTGTTTTTGGAAAGTTTTTTAGAAAAAAAGTTCATTTTTTTTATATTTTATTGATACAACAGCATTAAAACATGCAGGTAAAAAATAAAAATAGGAACCTCAATCGCTTTTAGTAATTTCCTTTCAAACACAAATTTGAAGCAACTGATTGATTGTTTAAAACCTGAAAAATAAAAGCAAACGCTTAAATATTGTATATATTAAATCCACCATCACTAAAATTATCTTGTAACTTGTAACTGCAATTGTTCGCTCCAGCAGCCGCCCAGATTTGAAACATTCACATTCTGTTCACTTCCTCATCCTCAGGCCCTGCACCGACTATACAGGGAGAGAGAATAATTAGCACTCTGGGTGTACCACTCACCCCAGCTGATGCCATGCCCTTAACCATCCTACCCTATCTCTCTCCCACAAATCATACCCTCCCCCCACCATAAGTAGATTCATGGGAAATCGATTGATCTGCAGCCCCGCAGCAGTTCTATGCTGGTGTTTTCACTCATTTCTGGGCTACTTTGACATTTTGACATCTTTGCTTTGCTGCAGAGTTATGCAAGAGATCAATTTATTATTGCTCTCATAAATATGCAGGAAAAGCTGGGAGGCTGTTAGTCATTAGGAGTGGAAACATGGGAACCAGTAAGCCTGCCTTTGTTCGTAGTACAAAAA